GGCACCCTGAGCCCTGCTTCCCTGGGATTTGGGAATAATTTAAGAGGTGGATTTTAACAGTCCCAGCTTCAAGGTGAGGAGTCATCATCTGTTTTTCTGGTCACAAGCCACATGAAACATAATGCATTAAAAAGTCATCAGTGGCTGCTGCGAAGGACTGCTGCGCTTCCCCCCACCTGGCCATCGCTGTGTAGTACCGCATTCTTAAAAAGGCTCCCTCTGTCCCAACTGAGCACCTTTTTATAAATATTTAGAATAAATGAATAAACTGTTGAAATTCCCCAGAAAGGGAAGGAAACATTTCTGCGAGCAATGTGGGGAGTCATCAGGTAAAACTTCTCAGAGACTTGCGCATCTACAAATGGTTGGTAAACACCTAAATCAGGAAATGTCTTCAGAAAGGTGGTAAGTGATTTATTTTATTGATAGATAGCAAAGAACTGATGTACAGAAAAGAAAATCTCTCAAAATATCGACTAGTTTGTCAAAAAGTTAAAGCACAATAAAATGTGGAGGTCATGGATTCCAGTGAAAGCCCTCCCATGAAACACAATAAAAGCACAAACATTAATTCTGACATTTATACTTGCAAAAAGGACCTGTAAGAAAGATAAATTAAAAAAAGGAATGTAAAATAAAATGAGACTAAGTAACCTGAACAATGGGAAAGTAAATCCACACCAATATAAAACAAGTATGCCTCATCACCTGCTGCTTTCCATGGCTCAAAGCTTTATGAAATACAGTGCTTGCTTGGCTTGGATTTGGAAAAACATGGTGTGCCTAATTTTTTTTTTTTTTTCAACTCTAGATATGCCTAGAAAAATACTCTAAGAATTCAGCAGTTCTGGGAATATGTGAACCAAGAAAAAAGAAAATTGTGCTAAGAGGAATCTTTTTGCCAAGCAGAGAGGGAGTGCAGGGCTTGCTGATTGTGTAATGTGTGATTGAAGGTGACAGCACTTGCAGATATTTTAGGGAGCACCAGATCATAAACGAGTGGCAATGTGGAAGAATTCCCAGAAAACAAGAAGCGATTGCACGAATAAACTGCAGGGCATTTTAGCGGTGCAAAAGGCAACATATGAAGAAGAACCAGCTGAAGGTTGCAACAACATGTGGCTGCTGCTTACGAGTCTTTGGTAAGAAGCAGCAGAGCTTGGGATGGGCTCATATCTGGAATTGCACATCTGGAGTTGTCACATACAGGGTGCCAGAGCTGCAGTGGCAGCCCTCGCTCACTGCGGGGCAAATCCACCACAGCTTTGGCAAGTTGTCACCCAGGAAAGCACCAGCCAAAGTGGGACCGGAGGAAATTGCTGGTGCCACTGGGTGCTGTCCCCTGCCTGAGCAGCATCTACCTGGCCACTCCCTGCCTCTGCCAACACAATGCAGGTTAGATTAAATATCCAGGCTTTGACTGAAATCAAGCCTGCCCCAGCCTGGCAACATGCAGCAGTCCCACTCGTGAGTGGTTTTTAGTTGTTAGTAAACCAGGAAGGATGGAGATCAGGCATATTGCAGGCAGGTATACCTGCAGGGAGGCAGGTATGAAGGGGAGTTTTCTGAGGTTAAGGATATTGGAGCATGGCATGCATTGTGCCCCAGCTCCTTCCCTGGCTGCTTTCAAGGACTGGGCACGGAAACCTCTGCCAGGTGGGACTCAGGCACAGGCTCTCCTTCAGCCCTTCCTCCCACTGCTTCCCTGTCTCCCTCACTTTCCTCCTCCAGCTGTGCTGGGCTGCTCGTGTCCCTGATGTAAATCTACAAACTGCCTGGCAGGCTCGGCGGCTCATGGCACGCTGCCACATGGCTGCTCCCCTGAGGGAAGGAGGAAGAGGAGGAGGTGGCGATGGCCCTGGTGTCACGCTGCTGGCATGGCTCAGCACACAAGCACGGGAGCTGGTGCCATGGCAGGCAGCAGTGCTCTCCAAAACAGGATGAGGCCCCTATGGCCAACAGAGCTGTGCTGGGATGCTCAGACGGACCCATGCAGGAGGCCAGCATCCACGTGTGGCCCAGCCACAGTGGGAGCTGGCTGGCCACGTGTTTGGGCTGAGTCTGGTTTACATCTGGGCTTTGGGGAAGGAATCTGAAATCTCTCCTGAAGTATGTAAGCAGCAGCTTTCATTTGCCAACATCACAGAGATATTTAGCAGGGCCATTGATAGCTAGTAATGCTCATGAATCCCAACAAAAAGCCATGGGTGCTTGTGTCCTTCACTCAAGGAAGCAAAGCAGAGCAGCATTGGAGGCCTCTTCTCCTCCACCAAGTTCAGCCAAGAGTGGCCAGGAGGTTGAAAACTCCATAGCGAGGGACAGGCGGATGGACACACACATAAACCATCCCAGCAGGAAGGCACAGTCCTGCTCGAGGGGGACAATCTGTTCTCCGTACCCCAGTAGCAGCTGGGCATTACAGCAGTCTGGGGAAGCACAGCATTCTCTTTGCCTGCCCATGTCAAACCTCGTGAAGCAGAAACAGTTATGCTGCCCAGTGACAGTCCTGTGCCCTTACCAAGGGCCAGGCAGAGTGCAGTCTCCAAAACATTCAGCTTTTTTTTTTTTTCCAGTTTTGCATGGTAGTTTACAAACATCCACCAAGAAGAAAATCAGGATCATTAGATATTCAGGGGACAGGGGATTAGGAGACAGAGAGAGAAGCGGTCACCCATTAAAATATGCCTCTTTTTAACTTCTCACCTCTACTAGGAAAGTATCCAATTATTAAATGACCCCAGTATTTTTTGCCTCAGCCTCCTTGCCTGGTTAGCCATTTCACATATTTATTATTCCTTGCATGAAATAATACTTCCTGACATCTGTTCCCAGTTTGTTTCTCTTTAATTTCCATTTATAGCACATTTTCCTATCCTCTGACCATGTTAAAATAAAACAATAAGTATGTTTGACACGATGCAAGTTACTTAAGATCATGATCCTTCCCCGACCTTGATTTTATTTTTTTTTAAAACATGCTCTAAAACACAGAAAAAACATTTTAATGAACTTTGATGAAAAAGCAAGTGGAAAGCTCAGAGAATCAGCAACCACTCAGCATTTCACACCTGTGCTGGCAGCCGGTTACCCGGGACTGGCGTGAGGATTTGTTGGTGGTTACAGTCCAGTTCCACTCCGACAAGAATCAGCTGGAGGCATATGGGGAAAGTGAGGAGCTGTGGGCTATGCAGTCCCTCCAGGAGATGGAGGGGAGAAGGAGGTGGCTGTAAGAGATGATGTAGCAGGATGATGGGACAGGCACGGTTAAGGAAATGTTAATTCCCAATGCAAAGATACAAATTGGCTTGGGTGATGCTTTCCCTTCTGACCAGGCAGATGGGAAAAGGTGCCCTTCCCTTGCTCTGAAGAGAGAGTTTGCTTCAAAGTACAATCTGGCAACTCCACAAGCAATAAATTCACAAGGAGAAGTGATGAGGAGTACTTCAGTTACGGCACAAGAACATGTTATGTTATCATCACTGTCTTGGTACAAGCCCTCAATATAATTTTTGCTCTGGAGGAGGTTGCTTATGAAGATAAAATAAAATGGAATCAATGTAGCCTCCAACCAAATGTGTGTGCGTACCTTCCTGTTAAGTAACAAAGAAAAACAGCGAGCCCGTGTCATCTCCAGCTGGTCCTTCACCATTTTAATGACTATCAGGCAGTTCTCCAGTAGGGACTATTGTGCTCCATACAAGCATTAGCCTGCTCAGAACAGCCCCTCCATGTCCTCCTGCACTGATAAGCCAGTAAGCGTGGTTATGCATCCTGCTGTGAGGAGGCTGACGAGGTTGCACCCCTGCATGGAAACATCTGAAACTGAAAACATTTCTGCTCAGGCCTCTTTAGCTGGAAGGGCAGTGGTTGCTCTGCAGTCTGGCGCTATGGCAGAGATGCAGGTGTCTGCGACGGCCAAGAGCTACAGCAACCTGGGCAGTTCAGATCATGGTGCCCTGTACATACCTTATCTTAGCTTTCTTCACACAACTATTTTATCGATAGGGCTTTAATCTGCCAGGTTGCCAAGGGCGTTTTCCTTTTAGCCGAATTCCAAGTTGAACGTGCACACACTAGAAACCCTGGGTTTAACCTGGGGCTTTTTGAGGTCAAGACAAACATCATGACAAACAGGACTAAGAGCAGCCAAGTTAAACTGTGCCCTGACAAAGCACTGCCCTCTCAAACACACCGTGCAGCTCAGTGCCAGGGCTGCACCACTACAGCTCGAGAGCTGGAAGGCTAATGAGGGTGGCCGGCCTTTGGGGAAGCAGGTCAGAAGTGGCTTCGAAGGCTCACCAGCAGGTTGCTCGGCACATGCAGAAGGGCTGCTCCTTTTGGGAAACCAGCATCACCTCCCACCACCCAAGAGCTGCCCCCTTGATTGTCCCCTGGCTCCCCATGGTGTCAGGCAGGTGTGACTGAATGGGCCAGCAAGCTTGGCCACCTCACACCTTGGGAACCATTTAATCCTCACCAGCATAGAGACTCACAATTACAGAAATCTACGTTTGCGTCTCTGGTCCCTGAACTTGCTGCACTTCATCTACCTTCCCAGGCTTTAAGCTCTAAGCAGGCAGAGTTCATGCAGGTGTATTTGTCCTACACAGCCCATGGTTTGGAAGGATAAACATGAGTCTCCCCTAGTCTGCCTGTTCCTTCTGCTCATTTCTCCCTTGCCACAACTGGCCAATTTACCTTTGCTGTTAATCCAGCCTAGTATTTACAGCATCTGGAATAATCAAAAATTGACTGAGGGGAAAAAAGAGAAAAGCTATACTAAACTCGAAGGCCTGATTTTGCCACAGCTTTATGCAAACACCACCACCACCGCCTTGGAGAACGGGCCTGGAGGATGGGTTGGAGAAAGCTTCAGTGTAACTTAGCCCATACTTGGTTGTGAATGTGTTGTACAGTTATAGCTGGGATTTAACAATCATTACCTATTTTATGTGCAGAAACAGGAATTATGGCAAAGTACCGAGGGTCATTTGTTTTCTGAGTTGCAATGCCTTTATTTGGTTAAGTGGTCTGAGTCAACAAAGTAATACTCTCCTCTATTTCCGAGAGTTTCTTCAGCATCTGGTTCACCTTGGCCTCATCAAACTCCAGACAGAGAAACTCCGATTCCTACAAAACAAAATTGCAAGAACAATAGTTGAGAAAGATAATGGTTTTTCAGGCATACAGTGGAGGCAGGATAGTGAGTTCTGGTTTCCTGACGATTTGTGTCCCGTGTCTCCTTTCTTCCTGGTACCACTTAAATAACCTCAGTAGACCCAGAGGTTGGCTACACACCTACTGAGAGCAGTACGTGCTGGCAGGCCAGCCAGTGGCTGCCAAAGACGACATAGGAAGGCCGAGCTCTGCCCACTTTTCCTTTCAATGTGGGCATCAGTTTAGGTCTCTCCTCAGCTGCAGACTTTTGCAAAACTTGTAGAAATTTAATTATATCTGAGACTTCAACTTTTTTTTCCAATCTGGTGATCCCCAAAGCTGTTGCTGCAGACGCTGGGAACTGCAAAGTGGATGGAGCCACCACACAAAGCTCGTCACATACAAAAATGAGATTTTATACAGGGGAAAACAAGAATCCAAAACACAGTCTTGTACAGGACATCCCACTCTGGAAATTTAGGAGAGTTTTATATTCTCTTACACATGGGCTCTAAGTGTCAATATAACTTAGAAGCAAGTTAAGCAGCAGCATTGATTTGCTCTGAGAAGTCCTGTCACATCTTAAAAAGTAGTTATTCTCTGACAAGATGGATATTGGGATATAGTAAAATGATCTTGTCAAAGGCCCAGAAAATAAAGAATATATATTAATAAATAAAGAATATATCTATATGTGCACGTGCGCATGTGGGTGTGTGTGTGTATATATATATCTATAAAGTTCAAATGATATGGAACTCATCAATAAACACCAATATGAAAAGGCCTCCTGAGATCTCCAGTCCATTAGCCTTACCTACTGGTGTGCCTAGAGTTACAAAGTATTTCCTCTAGTGAGTCTGGCAGAAGAAATGTTTGAGATTGCCAGGAATGCAACTGTGTACTAGAAGTCATTCCAGGTGAAGCACCATCAGTGATAGAGAAACAAATTGAAAATATTTGAAGATGAAAGTGCAGCCAGTATGGAGGAAGGTTTCCTTATGAAACACTGGAATAGTTTTAGCAATCAGAATCACTGTATATCCACTGAATTTCTATATGTAACGCAGACCCTGTGGTGCTTATAAAAGCAGAAGGGCATCTCCAGGTCTTGTCTGTTTTCTACCAGACTAAAATTTCTATCATTATTTCAAAATATGTGTTTTCCATACAATTAGCATCTACCCAAAACACCACAACTTCATCCTTTAAATTTATGGAATTAATAGTTAATACACAAGGATAAAATCATTGGACAAATTAAACCCATCATTACTAACCGCATTTTAGGACTGTTACAAGCATTTCCCCCAGGCATCAGGAATAGTTCTCCCTTTTACCCTCTCTCGTTCTCCCAAGGATTCCTGGGTTGTTTCATTTTTTGTAAAAACCAAACCAGCAAGTGATATATGAACAAAAATGCTAACAGAGGCAGCAAGGGGATCATTTTGTGTGCAATTATCACAATAGGCACTGCCAGAAGAACGCTAACAGGAAAGAAACAAGGTGCCAGAAGTCAGCGATCAGGAAGCCGAGCATATGAAGTGCATGGAAAGGTTGTGCTGGACATCAGTCACATGGGGAACTACCACAGTTCAAGGCAGAAATCAAAATGGTGATTTCAACCTTAAAACTTGAAACCTTCTAAGACCTCATAAAATGAGAGCGGCATGCACTTTAAGCTTTTTTTGTCTTCAAATATCACTGTCTCTCCCATGATGCTGGTACTTAGGCGCTTGGCAAGTCACTTATTGTAGCTCCACTGGATGAGTCTAAGTCTTTGTGAAATGTTTATTATCTTCACTGCTAATGACCAAATCAGCCAACAGACCAAGGTGCAAAGATCAAGTTATGTATTTAGTATGTGGATCTTTCTGATTAGAAAAGGTTTCATAGAATTAAGGAGAACTTTGCCTGAATGAAGTATCAGTAAAATTCAGAAATAGTCATGTAACTAAGTATATACCATGTAGAATATACAGATGACTATTAGGAAAAGCCTTTGCCTTATGACCAATTATGCTCATAAACAGCATCGTATTGGAAACTATTACTGTAGATTGTGGGTTTTTTTTTTAAATTAATCATTCATCTCTATAATATTACTTAGTACGTTCCAAAACATCACAAAAGTAGCATTAAACATTTGGGATCAATAACAACACAGATATGAAATCTAGGACTTGGAAGCAAGGGCTCTGTTGCACCATTTTTCTTGTCCTTGACAATCGTTATTGACACGTCTTATGGAAAATACCGTGTATAAAATACCCCTGCAAGCATATTTAGAGCAAAGCATAATTACAGCTGGTCACTGTGTAGAAAGAAAATGTTTGGTGAGGAATTTCATCGCTTAGCTCCATTTGGCAGTGGGCTTTCTGCTATCTTCCTGTCTGATTAGGAGTGCACTGAAAAAAATCTAGGTCGGATCTGCCTGAAGAAGATGGGTTTGCAGGAGATTGCATAAGAAAGCCTGAACAAAACCCTGAAATATCTCTCTCTACGTTCCTTGATTAGAAAGCACTGAAAAAGTCAAATCTCAAGCAATCCGTTAGTTAACCCCTGAGGCTTTGTGAAGCATTGCACCGAAACCAGATCACAGACCCTTGCTGGAGAAAACCATTCTCCACTGAAATGAGCAGAAATGGGCAGTGTCAGCCCAACTGGTGCATCTGCAGCAAGTTGGGACTGCAAAGCCAATGCCTCTTCAGCTCCCCCAGCTAAATCCTTGTTTTCCCAGACCTGACCGGAAAAAAGTTTTGCGCTCGCTTTCACAGAAGAGCTACTGCAAAAGCAGAAGTTTTTCTCACCAACCTAAAACCATTCCAATCTCTGCAACAGGTTACAAGTCTTGTTTCACAGACAACATCTGAAAACAGCTTTTCCCTCTGTAACCTGACCTCTCTTTCCTCAAAATGTGTGCCACAGCCACGGGCTGATTTCTGTCTTTTAGGGAATGAGTGGTGGTGCCACGCTATGCAGCCCTGGGTCATAGTCCTTGACAGGACAAACTCCAAGGCCAAACTCCTGTTGACTTCTGTGGCTTTCCAGCCACAACTGTGCACCTCAAGTCATGTGAGCCCATCAACAGACTTCCCCAGGCTAGGGTCTGCCCATGAAGCTTTGAAGATCTGCATAAGCTGATTTTACAGCTTAATCACATGGTGAGTGTGAGCGGACAGGAGAAGACCGAAGTCCCAGCTCTGGTGGAGATGTTTTTGCATGAGCCTAAGGAGGCTTTTTTTCCCCCCTCTTCAAGTTTTGTCAGTAAATTGAGCAAAAGGACACTCTTGGATTACATTAAGACTCTGCATGCCACTTTGTACAAGCGTAAGTATACTCATAAAACATACTTTTATTTATAAAGCAGCTAAAACTTTCCTATGTGGATTGGACAGTATCTAAATAGTTATCACGCTCTGACGTGGACCAACCTAAAACGTGATCAAGAGGGCTGTAAATCAGGCTGCTCAGAATTGGGCTTTAGTTTTATTTAATGCTTCTTTAGTTTATATCCTCCACAAAGTTCCAAAGAGGGAGAAAAAAGGAAGAAAAAAGATGAAGCTATGAAATTAAAACTTCCCATCACTCCCCTAAGCTGTCCTCCAGGAGCAGGACAAATTTAGTATCTCTGTCAGCAGGAAACAAGTCATCACTTTTGATACTTCCTATTGTTATAGAAATTTTCAGCCCACTTGGATGTCTTGTGGTTAAGCAAACCCAAAATGGAATGAGTCATTCATTAAAAATAAATGCAGAAGCTAACAAACAAGAACATCAACAGGCTACTAAACACTCCTTATCTGAAGCCACCAAACACGCAATGACAGCACCATGAGCCCCTCCACCAGACAGAGACCTGCTGTGGTGCATGTTTCATATCTGAAGCGTGAGTAGCGGTGCCTCAAAGCCGTGAAGCACAGCACACTTGCCTACCAGACCGAAATCTGGACTTCAGCTGAGCCCTTCATGGGGATGGACCCAGTCTTTGGAAAAAGGCACACTTATGCACAACGAGTGGGGCATTAGAGCATGTCTGTGTGCAATGGAAACGGCATGTGCATCCTCGCCTTGCGGTTGGAAAGCCAAGCTCGATGGTCTCAGAAAGGTGTGGGAATGGACGTCCATGTCCTGCGACCGTCTTGTTTTTCTCCCCACATGCTTTCCCACCCTTCCTCCCATTTCCGTCCTGGGCCTGGGCTATAAAAAGGAGCTGCAAAACAAACATCCAAGAAACACAAACTCCCCCAGCCATGAATTAGGTCTTCTAGGTTTTTTTCTTTTTCAGGAACAAGAGAGAGCTGCAAAAATATTTATGAGAGAGTAAGAGAAGCACAACTTTCTGTATCTTAGTAACTACACTTAAAAAACCCTGTATTTTTAGAAAACCAATCCTCACACATTCAAAACTTAAAAAAATACAATTGTTCTCTACTGTATCAGTTTGACCAGCTACTTAAAATGGTTCCCAGCAACTTTGATACATCTAGTATTTTTAAGTTTTAGCTATTATATCGGAAAAACAAAAATAAAATCATCTGAATTCACAGATTATTTTATTCATATTCATTTCCATTCGATTTGGAAACCTCCTACAACACTCAGCATTCAGGGAACTTGGTCACTGCCAGGACTGCAATGTAAGTTGGCAGTAAATTTGCTTTGGAACACAAAGTGTCTTGACTAAGGCTCGTTTCACAGGCCGGGGTGGTGGCTTGGGGCATCTCCCAATGCGGAAGTGAGGAATTCAGCTTTGTTAGCAAATGGCGGTTGCAAGGGAGCACTGGTACAGGTGCAATCAGTGGGGTGCCATGCCTCACACTTGCTGGCCCAAGGACAGTGAGGGTTGCTACATGCAAATAGCTGCCTATCCAGGTGGAAAGACCTCAGACAAAGCTTTGAGAGAGGTAAGGAGAACCCCCTGCCAAGGGGTAGGAAATAAAAGTTGCTCAGCAACTGAACAAAGACACCAA